AATCGTGCAAGGTGTCCGTATCGCTTGAAACTCTTTCGATAATTTGCGTAATTAAATTTGTAGACTGCGAGTACGCGAATTAAAAAATTCCTTCTATATTCGTTTGCAAATTGCAGTAAGATTGGTCAATACTGTTTATTTTTTCATAAAGAATAGTAGAGTAGACGTTGCAATCAATATTATCTCGAGTCACAGAACAGACTCGAAGCGAGATCTCTTACCATTTCTGTATCATTGCCAACGTTATCGATTCAGTCTTGGAATAAGACTACTATACTCTTAGCGTCTGGAACAAAGACTAAATATTCGAGAAAGTAATCACAGTGGAGGCATACGAGTAGACTTTTCACCCAATGTACTTTTTGGGCCTCTTTCTCTGGGGTCTCGAGACCCCATTACCATTCCCGTGTCACTCGCAACGTTACCAACAGATTTAGAAATGAACACAAGAGGAAGTGAGAGAGAAAATGAAATTACTCGCATGTTTCGAGATTAAACCCCTCGATTAATATTTTCCAAATTTATGACCCAAAATACACAACTTCTCTTCGCGTGCATTAATGTGTGTTTTGTTGGGCGTTGCAATATATCGTTTTGCGATTTTAATGACGCATGTACAATTTACCGATAAGAAATGAAAGATATCGTATAAAGTATAAAGTATCGTACAAAGGACAGAAGGTCGAAGAAATGAATACGTGATGTAGGACCTTGTTTCTCGACAGAAATTCAAAGAAACTTTCAGTCTCCTCGAATTTGTCCATATTTTCACACCTATTGTTTGCAATAATTATTAATTAACATCAGGCAATAGTTAAAATAATGCTCGATAGCGTGGGTTGTATGAATAATTGTTTTTAATACCATTTTGCTTAGAATATTCATTTTTCGGTCAAAGGCACGGTTAACTGTTAATTGATTGGTGAACGCGCCAAGGACGGTCTTCCCCACTCCTCTAAGTCTTCTGCCTGAGGCTAGCTGCCGGTGAGGAACTCTCTCCCTCTCTTTCTCCTCTCGGCTGGCGGACGTGGCGGAACGTCGTGGCTCTGCGCTCCACTTCTACTGGCCACTACTGACTACTGGCGAGCTCTGGGGACCAATACTGACCACTACTGACCACTACTGACCAGTGCTGAAATACCTCGTGTAACTATGTGTCAACAAGTAGTAAGTCCATTCCACTCATTTATATCTATTAGTAACTCCATTCCACTCATTTATATGTATTAGCACAAAATTTGTTTGTTTCTTTTATTTGATTGTACCGTGTCAATTGAATTTTGTCTGTCTCTTCGTTATTATGGATGTTTCTTTCGTCTCTTCCGATTTTTGACATCAACATCAAGTGAAAATGGTAATGAACTACCGTGTTGGTTCATTTTCATATCTGTTCCTACAATATTTCGTGAATTTTGATAACATCGATGGGAATATGATCTTCAATCTTGTGTTGTTACTCGAATTCTCGTAATATTCCACATAGATACTTTGTTCCGTTGTTTGGTACTTTCTTTTTGACGTTCTCTGTGGAATTGTTTCGACTTCTGTGAAATAGTTTCGTTATCTGGGTAGATCGTCATTATTTTTCGTTTATTCAGAATTTTTATTTTGGTTGTTGGTGAATTATAATTTTCATTTTGTCGATATTTGTGAACAATTTGGTTTGTGATTTATTATCACTTTCACTGCCTCATCATGTGTCTATTTTGTACATTTCTTTAGGTATGAATATTTCTAATTTCGTAGCTATCTAGCTTATTTATCGTAGCTTCATCAGTTCACTAATTGCTTAGTTTCTTTAATATGATACTAATATAGGTATGAGTTTTTGATTTAGGTTAGATATATTACAGATAAATTGCAAGGACATCGAGGGAAGACGTCACAACCGCCGTAGGACATATGTATAATTCTTAGTCTATTAGATTTAAGCTTAGTCATTAGTTTTAAAATTAACGTCGACGATTTCTTTATTATACGTGTCTCCGCGCCCTACCAAGCATTTATTCAATAAGTAGCTTATCTCTCGCTCGTTCCCTCGTTCCTAGCTTCGGTCACCGCTGTTTCATCGATTGAAACATGTGATCGGCCGTGTAGCTGATCCGAAAGATCTAATCGCCTTCCCATTGGTAGCTCGATCCAGGGAAAATGGTACTTTGCTGGAAGGTGTGGAGTTTCCGTATCCTGCGGAAACGCATACCTTCCAGCGAAAGTCGACACTGAAACAGAGGTACTCTCTCTTTGTCAGACAACTTGAGTCGGGTCCTTCGGGCTCCCGGCGGGTTGCGTTGGAGCAATGGAGACCTTAGATTCGGAGTCGCAGCCGTCCGTTATCCCATAGAGATCTAGTTAGCAAGGGCAGTAGGTTCGATCCTCGGATCCGCTACACGGTTCAGCGTCGCGTCGCGTCTCGTCGCGTGTCCCTCAAATTAGCTTCGTCCCTCTTTTTAACCAAATAATTGCTTGGTACAATTAAATCAGAACATCCAAGGAACTCTGTTCCCTTCTATCGTCCGAATTTTAGTTTCAACTTGACTAGACCTGATCTTCGACGTTAATTTTAAGTCTCTATTGTATACGTCCCCCAATATTGCCAAGTAATTATTTAACAAGTAGCTTCTCTCGACTCGTTCTCTCGTTATTCGCTTCGATCACCGCTGTTTCATCGATCGAAACATGTGGTCGGCCGTCCAATTTGTCCGAAAGATCTAATCGTCGGCCCATGACAGCTCGATTTCTAGAAATAGAAATCAATCTACCAAGGGCAGTGTCGATTCGATCCGAAGATCTGATGTACGGTTCAGCATCGCGTCGCGTCGCGTATCCAACAATTTAGCTTCGTCCCTCTTTTAAACAATATAATTACTTGGCATGACCAATCTAGTTTCTAAGGATGTAAAAGGGAGATCGATGGAACTTGGATTCCATCTATCTCCCTTCGGGTCTCCACTCGCAGCAACCTCCACGTGGTGAGACCTGGGTAATATTATTTAGCGTTTAATTAATAATCGTATAATTATTAATTAAAAGCTAAATAAAATTAGCAAATTGGCTGCGATCCGCTTTGCATAGATCATCATTAATACAGAGCTTCTTCGCTAGGCTAGTTTTGATTCTCATTGAGTGATCAAAGATTCTAGAGTATTATCAGAGATCTTTCACCTAGTCTTGTATTCAGAAAATCGAGTCAACGAATTGGTCATTGCTGTAGAAAGTTACGGAGGATTTTGAGGGGAAATTAAAAAAGTGCACGGTACATCTAGATAACTTTTATTAACCAATATAATCGTATATCGTTACAAATGACGGCGGCACCGTGGCGTGCCGCCTCAACGGATTACAATGAAACGGCGTGTTAACGTTATACAATCAAAATGGGAATCGATGAACGAGCGAATTTACGAGCTTTACGGTTCGTATCGTCGCTACTCGACTTCGAAGAACTGCTTACACGACAACATGTAAATTTGTAGAGAGTTTTATCCATTGTGTCCTGCATTCCGGCGCCCTGACCGTTTCCCGCTCCCGCGATAATCCCCGTTCCTCGTGTCGTCCTTGTCGGTCCGACCCAAAATCGTACGTTTGGTTAATGTGCGCGTATTGTGTGATGTGTACAAACTGTAATTATGCTCGAAGACATCGAAGACTCACTACGTAATGTTAAATGACGACGACGCGTCGCGGATTTGCCTTCGACGAACGCGAAACGAAGTTTCTATCTCCGTTCGTCGACCGTTCGATTTCACCTCGCGAAATCTACGGGTCTTACGTTCGCCATGTTTGCAACCGCGACACCGAAACTCTACGATCTAGAGAAAAGAATTGGAAAAATGTCGATTGCACGCGAGAATCCCCAGCAAATCCGCGACTCATTGGTTAGGCTTACGGCTACTATCGAGATATTGATGTACATATACAAGAACCATGATCCCGCTGCTCTCTAGAACACGGGCAGAGTATACAAAGACGTTGTTTGCCGAATAAAAACGAGTACGTCGCTCGCGCGCCGTTTCTCAGTCTCACGCCCCACGCATTCTCTCACTCTCTCTCGATAAACATGGAAGGGTAAACTGGCAACTTGCATTTTCTCTTGTCTCTACCACACGTTCGGTGATTGGCAGGGTATATTTGGTTCCCTCTTTGCATTTGTGCGTGCTTTGTCTTCTCCTTATTTCTCGTCTCCTCGGCGGCTACCTTTCGCGTTCGACTTTTGTTGGTCCTGTGTGGCAGTGCCTAGTTAACTAAGGTTTCCCTTTGAACGGATTTAGTCGCGCCTCGAGTCCTCTTCGACCGTGGAACGAAGAACGCACTCTGCATCGCGCGGTCTATTTTTGATTTTGTGTTCGGTGCGGTGCTCGAAACGAGGGATTCGGAGGCTGAGGGGTGCTCGGATAGCTAATCGTCTCCGAGCTAACAAAATTGGCGATCGTTTGCTCGGCCACGGAGCCACACTGGACAAAACAAGCGTTTAAAGTGCGGAAAAGATGTTCAAACATCAATGGAATCCGTGCCGAGAAGATTGCGAGCTATAATCGATGTTAAAATAAAGTGTACGAATACTACTTTGACTCTAAAATTATTATGCTCGTTATATAATTCCATTATGACTCGATTATTAATAAAAACAAAATGAAACTACGAGTACTTGTTTCGCCCACTGTGTGACCCGTTCCGAAATTTGGATAGAACGATCTCGAATCACATTTTTCCGGAGAAACAGTCGCACCCCTTTCGATCGTTGCCTCCGCGAAGACAGAACTCGCATAGCAATCGTTTTGGTTTCACAGACACGCTCTGCCGAACAATAATATTCTGTGCATCGTTATTTACATATTCGCACGCGTCATCGTTTCTCTCACAGTCGCTCACATCGAAATTAATAAAAGATCTCCGTAATCTTATTTATATTTATATTTATATTTATATTTATATTTATATATATATATATATATCTATCTATATATATTAATTTATTTATATATATATCGTGTTGCTTTTTCATCTTTTTTATAATGTCATCTTGGATTACAATTATGTATAGTTTAATCTTTATGTATAATCAGTTTCACAACTTCGTCCCTCTTGTTTCCTGCTCCCCGACTCCTCACTCTCACCTATACAGACGTCTAAGAATTAAAATATTTAGACTCGGAAAAAACTAGGTACGTACGTTCGATCGGGGGGTGTGGTGGTTTTTATTCTTTTTTTCTTTTTTTTTTTCATTTTTTGTTTCCTTTGACCCGTGGAGGGATTCACAAAACTATAATCCACTATGTAAAACACATTTTTCATCGCCTCGTTTCCACAACGGTCTACGCACAATATCCATAGCGAAGTAAATTGCGAAAGTTCGGTCTATCACTCTGTTCTCTCTTGTGTTCTCGAGATAGGCTTACACGCTAATCGATAATGGTAATAATAATTATCCTCGACGAAATGGTGTACGTGTCTGTGTGTGTGGGAGTGTGTGAGTGTGCGTATGAGATTCTCTACCTGTGTGCCGGCTATTAATTTCATTCCCCCTTTAAATCTCTTCGACGCGTCCGTCTTAAAATCGCCGGTTACGATATCTTTTTTTGTTTTTTCTTTTTTCTTTCTTACTCCTACAATCTGTTAGCCTCGCGATAAAAATCTACATCCGTGGTATTCGTTACCGTTATCCTCCGGATGCTCGGTGTCGTTCGAAACAGAAGAAAACGGAGAAAAGAAAGGTTACTCTACCCTCTATACACGATGATCCGCGTCGTCTCGTTACGCGACGACCATCCCTTTTTCCCTTTTCTCGTTTCTCGGTTCCTCGACGTTTTTCTCGTTCCCTCCCTGTTCGCCTCCATCGTCGGCGTTTCGCCCGACACTTTCGTTTGTACACGTACATTCATTATCCGCGAACGTTGAAAAAGCTGTGTCGATAAAAGTTTCTAAAAGTCAGAAACGATTTTGTACTCTGCAGCACGCGACGAGAAAGAACGTCGGAATATATTATATGTATAACGTTTTGGCGCGATTATCTCTTCCGGTCATTCGGTTTCCGTTCCGCCGATTCGTCGGCAACGAGCGGACAGGGTTCGTCTTCTTCGCTCTTCGGAACAAAACAGATCCTTCGCGGGATCAAAAACATACCTCATCCGGTTGAACGCGCAACACAACGAAACTTGTACCCTGTTCCTACATCGAGCCCTCTTTTTCCCCTCGTTCTCTCCCCGTTGGTTCGTTCTCCCTTTCCACGAGAAAAAGATATCACGGCTTGTCACCTATGCTAACGGAGAAAATTCTTTAACGGGGCGACTTCATCCGGAAGCCCGTCTCGTCGTCTCGTCGTTGTTCCAACGATCGACGAATGTAATTCGCAAAGGGTTCGAATATCCTTCGAAAAGAGACGTTCCATAATGTTCTCGATGCACGATGGGGTGAGGGGGGCGAAGGTACATATATAATATATAAAAGTAGAAAATTTGGCGGCAGTATATAGAGATCGTAAAAGGTGAGAAACGCGGTGAAAGGAAATGGGCCCTGTTTTCGTGAATTGGCGTCGCGATATTGATCGTCTCTCGACGGTTGGTTATTGTGCTTCGTCGTCGATCCGACCTGTTCCCTCCCGTGCACTCTCGTCTTACTTACCGATCGGAGAAGCAACGTCCAAGCTGCTCTAAGCAAAGAGAACCGAGAACCAAATGGTGAAACAGAGAAAAAACTGAAAGGACGCTTCGCGATTCTCCTGGCTTTGCGTTTGTCGCCGCGAATACCTTCGACCTCGTTGGACGCCAGGCTCGACACCTGCGTCTTCTCGTTTCCACCTCGACGAGAACCCGTCAGATCAACCTGTGTTCGTTGTCGATCTTGTTGTCCGTGAACTCGCTGCACGAAGACGCTGCAACCTTCCTCTTAGGATCCTCGAAGCTCCCCTTACCTGCTGGTATCCCTGTTCCTCTGTCGCGTTCGACGGTGACCCGGGGTCGATTCGAGCGACGAAGGAACGTTCGGGGTCGTCGAGAGGCGACCTCGGTCCCGTCGATTCTGCTCGCGAACGACGATCGCTCCGGGCCATTGATCCCGACGAAAGGGTTGGCCGGTCGTCCACCGTTTACTCGAGGCGCGCCTTGTAGCTGGTCTTCCATATCTCCGCGAACGTGACGGCGCTGTGGAACCTGTGGAAGATGCACAGCGGCAGAGTGACCCTCTGCACGATGGCCCAAGCTAGGAACCCGTAAAAGTCGAGCTGCACCGGGTTCGCCATCACTTTCTGCGACTCGAACGTGTAGATCACCCACATGGTCAGGTTGCAGATCAGCAGGAAGGTGACCACCTGTCGTCCCGGCTTGCTGCGATCGTGCTCCGGCAGGTGGACCCTCCTGCGCGACACGTCAGCGATGAACAGCATCTGGAGGATCACCTGGGCGACCGAGAGCAGACCGGTCAGCATCACCAGCAGGTTCGGTTCGTGGGTGAACGCCGCCAGCGATCCAGCGATCACGCTGAACACCGCGTATACGAACAGTCCGAACCCGGACACACGGAGAAGGATGTCGTTCAGGTCGCTCTGTTCCTCGGCCTTGAATTTCAAACTCTGCACCCGTATGAACCCGACGATTATGGCCACGATCGACAGCACCATCAGCACGCAATGGGACACGTCCGCCAGGTAAATGGCCACCAGACCGAAGTCTGGATGGTGGATCAGCACGAAGAAGAGTATCAGGCAGATCAGCGAGCCCACCAACAGCAACAGTCCGAAGAACAGTCCTTTGCTCGCTCCTACACAGTCCACCCTTGTGTGACCTATTTTTTACGTTGGGAGCAGTCTTTAGTGGTAGTTGCCTAACAACGATCTTTCGCAAGCGTGCCAGTCAACGCGTTCGAATCATATCAGAAAGATATCTGCCCGAGCAAAGTACTTCTATCAGCGTTTGAAAATCCCCAAAGACGTAAATCTAACGACGTTTCCTCGAGTCCGATCCTACAGCATCTAATGGATCTATGTTCCCTGAGCTAAGCAAAGCATGTTAAGGGGTTGAAGGAGAGAATTTTACCTGCGTGGGCCAAGGCAACGGCCCTTCGAGAGAGCATAGCCTCGAGGCGACGCTCGAGATCGGCTTCCACCTGGTGAGGCCAGCGCGGATGTCGGCCGATGTGTTTCCACATAACGTAGATCACCGCCGCCCCGATCAGACTGTACTCGATTATGAACGGAAACAGGTACGGTTCCGCGTCTTGGACAATGGTTCCCATGATGTTGACCCGGCCGCAGGAATTCGAGGCCATCTCCTCGTCCGTCAGGGCCTCCGCGAAGATCTTGAAACGCGGAATGCCCCAGAAGTCGGTGCTGCTGTTCGTGTGGTTGCTCGTGTCGAAGATCTGGTGCACCTGCGCCCGTATCGACCGGTTCGTAAATCGCGATAAAAATCATCTGAGATTCGATTTATTTTACCTCCTCTTTGCTGTCCATTTGCGGGGCGTCGAACTGCTCCACGACGAAAGAGGAGAACATTTTGAACGGTGTGGTAGAAGCGGCGGTGGTAGTAGAAGTGGTAGTGGTGATGGTCGGGGTGGTCCTCTCCTCGGTGGTAGTTTTTGGTGTTAATGTAGTCAGTATTGTGGAGAGGGTGGTCGCGGTGGTTGCCGTCAAATTAGGCAAAGGCGCCGAGGTGGTGGTGGTCGTCGAAGGCGGAGGGTTCCAGCCTGTTGTGATGGTCGTCGTCGGCGTCGTAACGGCCCTCGCGATCGCCCTCGACGTCGTTCTCATCACACGGCCGAACGAGGCTGCCGTCGAGCTGGCGACCATCGAAGCAGTCGAGGTCGACGACCTCGTGGCGGTCAATGGAGCCTCGCGCAAAAGAGCCACGTCTCGAGGCGCTGTTCCCAATATGGTTCCGGCGTTTCGCATAGAGTGCTGCTTGATGCTCTCTGGAATATGCATCAGGAACGTGACACGAATAAAAAGTTACGGTCAAACGCCGAAGATACGCAAAAAGAATTTATCCGTATACTGACCGAGTATGCCGGCCTCGAACTGTCCCATTTTCTGGTGATGCTTGGTGATCTCTTTGATGCTCTCCAGCACGAGGGTGCGGATCCAAACGCAGAGATTGGTGGCGACGACGTGCATCAGGCCGAAACGCGCGATCACTTTGAAGCGATGGATGTTCAGCTGGGAACACGAGTAGCAGAAGCATTTCAAAACCTGACTCGTCGAGGTGTCTCGAACGCTCGAATCACCTACCCGCGAGTTCATGAAGATGAAGTACATTTGCATGAAGGTGAAGATCATCTGCAGCACCGGGTTCACGCCCTGGAGTATCTGATAACACGGAGACGTGGGTGGCACCTCGAAGAAGGTGCCGAACTCTAAACCGTTGTAGACCATGGTACCCAGTCCGAAAGCTGACGAATGAAACGACACGAGTTGCAAGATAACGTTCGATAAACAATCAAAGACAAAGTCTCACCTATTGCCCCGATTCTGAGGAAGAAACTCCCGTGGCTTTGATCGTTCTGCGAGGTCTTCCGCTTTCGCAGAGCACGAGTGGCTACTCCAGCCTCCACATCAGCTGCATCCTGAATCAGTTTTTTCCTTTTCATCCCCGAGCTTCGTCGTTAATTTACCCCGGCGCTTAAAGACCGCCGGCCCGTCAAATTGCACGAGTCGAACTAATTTCGTAATTGCCGTCTCGACGTCGAAAAGGCGAGTAAATTTTAACGAGGAGCAAAGTGGCGAATTCATGCGACAACGAACGGGGGTTTCCGTGCCACGTGCTTTCTAGCGTATGGTGGATGACCGTAAAAGCGCGGTTAATCGGTAGGAAAGGTTCGAGTAAAATCGACGACCCCGTAGGATTTTGTGAGAAAGAAGGCAACGAACCTGGTAGTCTTTCTTGGTCTTGGCGGACTTTTGCTCCTTGTCCTTCTTGTCCTTCTTCTTGTTCTTGTCTTTGGGCTCTTTGGGTGGCTTGGGGGGCCTCGGGGGCGGCGGCGGGGTGTCGCTTCCTCGCGCGCAGCAGGCGCTTTCTTGCAGCAGGAAGCAGAACACGTACAGGAGGAACAAGATGCTAACGCCGTACAAATACGTGAAGAAACCCTCGTAGTAGTAGAGAGGCAGCTTGTGCGTGACCACCTCGCTTATCACGTAAGCGATGCACACCACCACCAGCAGCTTCGCGTAGATGAAGCTCATGATAATGAACAGCGACGTTCTGCAAGTCGAAAAGAAAAAGCAATGGAGACTCGGAGCGACGTCCAGGGCTCACGCGAGCGCGGTTTCGCGATCCTCGAGTCCACCTGAAAGATAACGAAGCCAATTTCTCACCGTGTTTTTCGTACTATTTGCACCCTAGTACCGTGCTTCGTCGCGCCCCCGACTTTGTTCACGTTGTTCTCCATGAACGGCACAATTTCCACGTCCATCGCGAGTCTCGTGGTGGGTTTCGCGGTTGCAAGCTCGTCGTTGGTTACCGGCTTTTCCGTTCCATCGGTCGACGCGAGAATAGATCGAGCAGCGTCGTGTCGGGATTATTCGCGAGCGTCGACTGCCGGCCGCTGGACACCAAGATTCTATTTTCGATGTCGAACCGTCGTTGAACCGCGAGCGGGAAGCTCGTCGATTTTTCACAGTCTCCTCCGCGGCGTTCCCTTAATCCGTACCGCTAATTTTAATTGCACGCCGGCGGGCATCGCGCGTCTCCTCGGTCCTCGTCGGCACTCTGAACAAGAAATCCGCGTCGAACGGGTCGAGAGAGCGTCGCGACGGTCGTTAACGCTTCGACGTCTCTCGAACGAACTCCGCGGAGTACGCGGCGGGTTTTTTCTCGTTAAAGGTTAGGTCGCGGAATCGATAATTTACGCCGTGGGGGGGAGCGGGACGCGTTGCGTCGGCCGATCTCGTCTCGGCAATTAATCGCGAGCAAGAGAGAAAGAGGCCGGATATTCCTCTGTCGGTGCAGCGGAACGGAAGACGACGAGGACCGACGCACGCGACCGGGGAAAACGGAGAAAAAATCGCTCCGAAATCCGTGCCGCGCGCGTCGAGTTTGCGATTGCAACCGCGTCGCGACGTCTGCAACGGGGATATCAGGGGCTCCGCCGGCCGTACGGTGCATCTTCGTCAAGAAGGGCTTAACCACCCTTTGTCACGCTGGCATTTCAGGGGTTGGGGCGCAGACTTTATTGTTTTCCGCACGAGCCTGTACACTCTTGTCAGGTATTTTTTTTTTCCTTCGATGATTATCGGCCTCGGATAAAGAATCGCCATATTTAAAGAGACGCGACCGGAAACTCGATTCTTGCGTCGGTTTTTCTTTTAATATTCTGCTTCTCTTTAATTGTTTGAACGCCATTGTCACGGAAGATGATATTTATATAGGTATACAAGTATTTGTCGTAGGGCAAAGTTAAATGAATTTGATTTTAGTTTTGTTCGCAAAAAGGCGATTAGAAACCGCGTTCGTTCGAAAGTTAATAAATGACGATAGCTCAGGCTCGCGCTTTCTATTTAATTCAACGACACGATAACGCGAAGAACTGGTTTCCGATCGACAACATGAAAACTAGTTCCAAGCTAAATTATATCGCTATTTTCGGTAATTGACGCCTGGCGTGGTACTTTCGCGCAAATAAAAAACCGGGCGAAATTAATTTCCCGAGGAAATTTTACTTTTTCGTTTCGAGAACTTGTTTCACGAACGAACATTATTCTCCTTTTGCAATCCACGTCGATCCGCCTCGCCATAAATATAATTAACCCAGTAGATAATATCTAATCACGGTTTAACGTTCTATTTAAACGCGTCGATCGTTTGGTTCCCAGTATTCGGAATGATATAAAGGCGCGTTGCATCGAAACCGTGTTAAGCGACACTTGTAAGTAATAGAAGTCGGGGGATCGCGTTTCCCCGAGATACAAAGTCATACCAAAGGGCCCCAACTATGACCCAAATACTAAAACCAACCATTCGCACCGAATAGATTTAGAAAAAGTGGGTAACTTTTGTTTCACGAAGTTTTGGGTCGCGTGAAAAGTTTTTGGAAGTTTCTCACGGCGATGGGAAAGAAAGCAAGCTGCGCCCCGGTTATGCCCTTTTTTTTCTCTCTACTTTTGAAGGAGCAAAGTGGCCAGAAGTGGAAACAGCGCGGCTAGCACAGACTCCGTAGCGAACCAGGCTGCTCGGTCGATATCTCGAAGTACCTACTTTCAGCCGCTGGTCTTTCTCTCTGTACCTCGCCCTCTCGACTCACCCTCGCCTCATCCGTGTTCTCTCGTCGAATTTCGTACTCCCCGTCGCGTCCAATCATCACGTATTCTTCGCACGAGCCGCCGCGGTATCCTTTTTTCCGCGGTTTTCCACCCAGCCTTTAAAAATCGGTTCGAGGCAACGCGATTTTTATTTCCGACCCGATCCGTTTCTCGTTCGACGTTCACCGCGATGGTTTTAACGGTATTTCAGACAACGAGCATCGAGCACTGGTCGTTGGTTTGCGTTCCGTGTCCCACGTTTTGTCGGCGAAGTATGTGCAGTCACGTTCACGAGGCCCGTAATACTGTCTTGTCTCAGCGTCTAGACCGACGAAGCTTCGCTTTCAGCCCGTGTTAATGCAATTGCGACTGCGACTGTGTAATTCGAGAAGGTATTGCTTGGCCGTGTTGCGTGCATACACCGGCATATCACTGTCATACTTTGCCACTCGATCGATATTAATAAATTATAAATCCCGGCGAAAACTAGTTCGCGCCATTATCGCGCGATCGATGCTGATCTCCTTTTCTTGCTTATCCCACTTTCAGATAATATCGCCGCCCCATTTTTTAGCGCGTTTTCGTCTAAAAATAGAGACGATCGAGGGGGCATTCCCGTTCGTTTTTAATTTCGGATCAAAAGCACCGACCATTTCTCCAGACAAGAGTTAACAAAACAAAATATTCATCCATTTCAGCTTTTCCAGGATTTCACATTCTTCTCTTGCACGCGAGACACTTTAAATTCAACGTGTGTCATAATACATTCCCGACGTCTTTCAATTCTCCGATTTTCTATTATACGCTGATGATTTAAAGATGTAGCAGCACGGATAAGCTCGAGAGTTGACGATCTTGTTCGATGCGAGGCGTGGGCGACAACGAAGACGTTTAACATATTCAAGGGCCGTGTAATTCGTCTTAATCTCAAGAGGGGTACAGTAATATATACTGTAAATGACGTTTCAGTGTCAGCGGCTGGCAGTATTTTAGTCCTGAGGTATTCGATCTTCAAATATTCTATCTTTAGCGGAAGTGTTCGAATCAAGGTTTCGATGCTCATGGCCTTGCTAATACGGTGACTCATCTATTCCTTTAGAACAACACAGATTTATAGAATTATTTCTTAGACTCTAGAAAATGAAGAGTGACGAGATCCTTGCTTTGTTTGCACGGCGTTGTGCGATTGCATTCCAAGCCCACGTATCCTTCGACTATTTAAATTTTATGTCTCTGTTAGAAACATACAACACGCCTTGGAACTGCATAGCACGTTGCGCTGCAAATTCAATTGTACTAATCCAATGATTCCACCGACCAACGAATACACAATAGCTATCGATCGTTTCTGCGACTGGAATTCGAACTCTGCCACATACTTTGCTATTTCGTACATGTAATAAATATAATAATAACGAGCGTACGCGTGGTCCAGGATTATTTATATAAGATAAAATTCGAGAGGATCGTAGTCCCTCGTTAGGTTCGTTGATTTCTATGAAAAAGGTGTCGCGCCCCCAGGGTTAACGCTCGATGCGTCTCTGTCGGTCGATCGATATATCGAAGATAAACCGCACCGTTCGCGTCCCTTCGCGACTCGAAATACGTTCGCGCTCCACTTCCTCGATTCTTTCTCGAGAATGATTTCCATTCGTTCGTGGCCGCAACCTCGGTCGGTTAGTTATTTCTTTAAACGCGGGGTAGTGGGTGGTGTACGTGCGCGAGTGCATAACTCGGGGCCGCGTGTAATGCACACTAGACGCAAGACGGTTCGTAGCCCATCGCGCCACCCGGCTAACGAAGCGCGTCGCGAATAGAAACGCGGACCAGACGTTCCAACCCCCTCGTTTCCGTTCCGCGTCAAATGCAAAAGATATCTCGTGAAAAAGGCACGATTTCGCCGCTAAGAGAAACCCATCGGCTTCGGAAGAGTCCAACTACGGAGGCTGGATTCTCTTCTTCTCGTTTCTTTGCCGTTAGATCGTCAAATAAACAGCGCGTGTCAAACTATCAACAGGAGAGACTCACAGCCGTGGAAAATTAAGTTGCAAAATGTCCGACCTACGCCCTCGAGTGTAATAAAAAAATTCCCTCGCGCGAGCTTTTCAGAATTTCTTTTCCCTGCTCGAGCAAATCCTCGCTTTCGATTTCCCTTTTCGCGGCTGCGTGGCGAAACAATATCGCCGTTTACGAGCAGACAGTTCGACGTTCCTCGTCCGCGGGTTCTTTCATCCGGCGGTGGGCGTACGCTTTGAAAAGCGTCGCTTAGATAAATAGAAGCCAGTGTGCGGGAAGGCAGGACCTGGATAAATCCCCGACTGGAAATCGTTACGCGCGTCTGCTCCGGTCCCCGACCGGAAGCCGCGCAAACGGACGCCGCGTTTCGCGATTCCGGAATCGAGCAGATGCGTCGGATGCTCGTCATCGGGACGGTGCGCGACGCTCGTTCCAGTATTCGATGGATTATCGGAATTTCAGAAGCGACAGCCATCCCTGTCGACTATACTTTGGCGCTTTTGTCCGCGGGTATTCGCGATGTTTGCGATAAGAGGCGACCCAATTCCTACGCGATTAGTATTTACGTTTCCCTAATTACGGGCGAGAAACACCGCCGGCTCGCATTGTCCTCCAGTTTGCGCTCGAGGACGGTACAAAAGCGGAAAGTCGGGGCTCGAGCGCGCCCCTAAGCAGTAACCGGTTCGTTAGCGCGCAGATTACGTAGCAGTTCCGGTCAAGTGGATTCTTGACCTACTCCCGTTCCAGCGGGTGGTAATTGCGCCGAGGAAAGCGTAACGTTCGGCCGATCGCACGTTAAAACGCGCGTCGGTGCTCGAGAACGTGACAGAAAAACAGAAAGGGGGTTGTCGTTTCTTTAGTTTTCTACTGCCGCGCTTACTTTTTCGCTGGGGTGGACCGCACGTTCTTCAGCTCCATCTCTTTGTTCGCCGCGTTGTTCTTCTCGGCGTTGTCCTGCGCGCTCGGCGGCGAGCTCTGCGGATTCAGGGGCCTGGTCACCGGAAGCGTCGCCGTGTTGTCCACCGCGGCTGCCTCCACCTCCACGGTGGCGACCTTGCAATCACCGCCGCCCACCATCGTAGATACGGACCCTAACGACCGGCAAAATACACGGCTGCTGACGCGCGATTCTCTATCGACGAGTACTACGGCGTCCCGATTACGCCACCGCCGCCATTTTGGCGAACGTCTGAAAACTACCGACGACGGAAACCGCGAGCACCGAGTCTTCGATCCTCCCGTGAATTCGGTCGTGTTCGATCGACGCGCGGACGCCGGAGACACCGTTCCCGAAAACGAGGCCAGCGGGGGCCAAAATTTTGTGCCCTCTGTTTATTCGATTCCGCGGATCACGCCTGCGCGGTCGTTACCTCGGAGCGCAGCTCCTTCCGCGCTCTCGATACGATTCTTATCTCGACCGGGGAGGAATTTAGGCCGCGTAGGAAACACTTTTTTCCCCCTGGGTCTTACGTAAGAGTTCGATGGGGGGAAAACGAAGGCAGATTTCAGGGTTCGTGCTGGCGCGAGTCGAGCGTCGACGTCGACATCGCGCCAGAACGCCAGAAGACGAAGGGCGATCGCGAGAAAGTTGATCGGAGCGTAATAACCGGTAGAAGAGAGGACGCCGGGAGGAACGAAGCCGGGCCAACCCCAAAGGTTTTCTCTCTCTGTGATCCCGCGCACTTGGTCGAACGAGCTAATGGAAAATCCCGTGCACACGACCGAACCTGAGCCCTGGGAGGATCGAGCACTCTCGCTCCGGTGACTGATGACGACCACGACGACGGGCAACGGGCGACGGGCGACGCGAGGCTGCGATCACCAGCCGAGTGCGATGCACACCTCGACGAACGTCGTTTCCAGCGTGGCAACGAACGGACCAACGAACCCGACGTGTACGCGACCAAGAAAGCTCACCTGCTAGCAGAGAGGCGGTTGGCCGAAGGTTCTCGCGGTGACTGCACTCAGGGTTCGGCGGAAAAGGGTGTGAAGCGTAGAGACGGAGGAGGGATGGAGGATGGAAGGTCGGCGAGAGAAAAGGGAACCTCGCCGGGACGGGAGGAGAGGGGGCCAACGGAGACACGTAGAACAGATAGAGAGGGAGAGAAGAGAGATAGAGAGAGACGGAGCAAAGGGAGTCTACCTTACGGTGGCGGTCGTAACCGCGCACAGCCGACTAGGGTTAATCCGCGAGGAACGGACGAACGGACGTGCAGCGGCCGAGTGAGACGGACTATGTTATCGGAGCACGACGAAATGGGGGTAGAATCACGATCGCCGCCCCCAGCATCCCGGAGACTGAGGCTGGCCGGGAGGTCTCTTCCCGGGCAGCGGCAGCTTCTTGCACAAGCGCACTGCGGTCCACGGTTTTCACTCTATATCGTTCCCCCGTGCTCTCTGTCCCTTTCTCGCTCACGGACCCCCTTTTTCACCGGCGGATCTCGCCTCTCCTTCTTGCGATCGTTCCCCCCCAGTATCCCGTCTTTTTCACCCCTTTCGCGCGACGCGGTCTTCTTCGACCTTTCCCCTGGCTCCCCCGAGGCCTCCCCCCGCCCCTGCGGTCTCGCGCAACGCGGACGTCCAACGAGGATCCTCCACCATGATTCCTCTTGGCTGGTCTACCTCGGCCGGGACTCCCCCTGTCCCATCGGAATCTCGCGTCGCGTCATGAATTTTTTCTACTCGTGCTCTCCGTGTCCCCGTTTTCCTTCCTTTTAATTTACACCGCGACCGCTGCGAGCTCTCGATGATTCCTCCTCACTCTCGCCCCCCTGTCCCCCGGTTCTTTACGTTCTCATCGCCACGCGGCAGCGTCCGCGTTTCCTCCAAGCAGTTTCGCCAATTAGATGAAAGACCCGATACTTGGACGGGTCCCAGGTTCAACGAGAATTGTCAGGAAATACGAACGATCGCTCGAGCCACGAAACAAATCATAAGCATAGTCGACTCTTCGTTCTCGTTGAAGTAAAGCGTACGCAGGGTGTTCTATGACGTTTATTCAGAACCCCAGAATATGCTCTCCCATTTGGTAAATACACCGTGGCAGTTAAACGTCCAAGTATCGGGTCTTTTACCCTTCCTCGTCGCGGTACGAATCTCTCGTTGCTCCTCGAGCCTCTTGGTCCCGTTTCCACGAGAGGATGACAGCGGAAGTCGAAAATGTTCGCCCGCGAGAGACACACCGATCCTCTCCGCAGCTCTCGAGAGCCCATTCAGCACTCCCCGACGACGAACCGCGAACAATTATTCAGGTAACGGCCTCTTTCCATATATATCCCACGATCTCGGGTTATTTAAATATCGTTTTAGATCTATTCTCAGCGTCCCGGACGTCGGTGGATGCTGAGGACGCGGCATCGATGCGTTCACGTGCCGCCTTTGTGCGGGGTCCTCGTCGCTGGGGTGCAGTATCCGTCTACGGTTAGCTAGGATCGGTGAAGCACCGTTTGTCGATAGTTCTGCATCGTCTCGTGGGAGCTTCGAACTCCCGTCCTTTGTCT